GATTTAAACAAATCATATTGTCTTTACATCTTCTATTATATTACTTGGAACCCTTGGTTCATCCAATAGTAAAAACATAAAGGAAGGAATATAGCTAGCAAACTTAGTAACTTCTTGCTGCAAAACTTATATACATTTATAGTTTTCCATACTTTTAAATTTATTTATCTAACAAGATGATCTTTCAGGAATTCAATTTTGCCATATTTTAGGCAACGTGGCCGTTTTTGAAGGAATTCAATAGTGTGTTTTGGCTAACACACCCCCATAAATTTTTTAAAATACATATTTATGACTCGACATACCCACAAAAGTATCCAAAACGTGCCCATCTTTTATCTGCCCAATATCCGCGCCGTACTCAAAGTATTTCGTGTACCGATACATATTGTGCATACCTAGTACTTGTACGGCAATATTTTTGGAGTAGCCATGCTTCATAGCTTCTAGGCACATAATTTGGGATAAGCTAGTGAGTCTTTCAGCAACATTATCCAGGAACATAACTTCTGGGCACACAGTTTCTGCTAAATATCTAACCATCGTATCTGTTCTCTTCGACCAAGAAGTGATAAATTTACTACAAAAGAATATAATATAATCTGCAAATAGACATCCTTTTTTAACATCTTCCTCCAACATAATCTGGCTTAAGATGGAAGATCCCTAAACATATGCTATATACTTTGATGAATGTACCAGTGGTGTGTAAGCCAGGATATTTTAATGCCAGCTTACTTTCCTATATACTCGATTCAAAAAATCCATGTTCAAAATGCTCCAGGACAGGGACAAATAATTAGGAAAAGACTGAAATCATACAATTCTTCAACGTGTAGATAGCCATCATCCATGATCATATTGAAGCACAAAACCCCTGTCCAATTCGACATACATGGATCTCCACGATTCCAATTACTGAGATTCTGATTTGGATCAATCAAACTTTGCTTGAAGGTGTGCAATGCTGTGACTGAAATTATTAGAAAAGGTCATCACAATTTCATCAACATGATTAACTAAACTTCTACATCTATCGAAAAATAAATGATTTGTAAATCATCCACAGTTAAGTTGTCATTGCATTTCTAGTTTGCTTGTGGATATGGATGATCCTATTTTTTTTTTTTAAAAAACACATAATTACCAGTCATATAGGCACTTAAACAGAGAAAATCATATAAATTAAAACTAGCAATTGAAAAATGTTCACCAATCTAGGCCATTAATCTAAATGTATTATTCAGCTCAACATGAAAAAAATCATATCCCAGCATACAGCAAATAAATAAGGTCATCATTCCAAAGCAATGCACCTCGTGTCCATACTAAAGAATATGTTATAGGAACTAGATTCAAATGTATATTTACATTTATAGATATTTACGCACCACACATACTGCTGCGATCAAAAGTCACTGTCCCAGCTGGGGAACGGCTCTGTTCTCTTCCTTTTGGACCCCATTGAACGAAAGGTTCTGCTTCATTGATCCCATATCCACTTGTCCATGTTACGGTCATCTAAGTTTCAAGTTAAAGTACATCATCTCCTCTAAGAAATTTTTAAAATCAACCATGTAATTAAATGACTAAATAAAAGAAACAACAAGAAAGAAGGCCCTACCCATGCATTGGCAAGGCATTAAGATAATCATCTACACAAATTAATAGCTTTCTTATACTTTCGGCATACACTACACATAAGATCTAACAACTAATGTGACAGAATTAGACTTACTTCATTCCATGTTTTTCCTTGTGCTAAGCGTGGGTACACCGGCGCATTTGGATTTGCAAAAGCTACAATATTTGACACTGCCACTAGCTTTGGCTGTTATAGAAAGAAAAAAAGATTTAAATTTCATTGAAGGTGGTTGTGGTTGAAACACAAAAGAGAATATAATCTTCATATACAAGCTAAAAAAAAATGGTAAAGAAAGGAAACAAACCAACAAAAATTTAAAACAAAAAATATTTTATATAACATGGTAGATGAACAATGAATTCATCAGCTAGTGCATTCAAAACACATTATGGGGGGGAAAAAATGAAGAAGAAGAAAGAAAGAAAGAAAGAAATTTCCTAATTGGAATTTCATTTGTAATTTAGATTCAGTTGGAGAGGTTTTGGTCAACTAGCCTTGTAAAGATAAACTGCAATATTAAAAACAAAATTTCAATTATAGTCACTAATGTTCTCCCACAAAATTATAATCCATCAAGAAACAGCAAGAAACATTACTCTGTCTGATTTTCGTTTTTAAGTATATATATTTGAAAAATACTAAAAATAGTTTGGTGAAAGTAAACATCATAATGATATTTTTGAATTTTCAAAAAGTATTTCTGCGCAGAAAAATAAAACAACATAAAAATGATGAGTTTCCTAAGTTTTTCATTATTTTTTCAGCAAAATTATTTTTTTATTATTTTCAAAAGAAAAATTTTAAAAACAAAACTAAACAGAGATATTGAACTGTCAAAGTCCAGCTCCAGCCAGTCATTTTAAAATTTAGAAAAGACCATAAAGGGCCAACACAGAACAATCAATGGTTCTTTATAATATTCTGTTCATGAAGGACGGTTTGACCTCCACATAGCTATGTTGGCTATATAGGAAGAGTAAGACATTGTGAGCATACAGCTAACAAACCGCCAGAAAACAATGCAAAAAGTGTTAGCAGAAATTCCATCGACCACCAGTTCTATAATACCATTCATCCAAATAATCTACTGACTGTAGAACTAATCAAACATTTCCAAACAAAAATTATATTTATTCCACTATCAATTGTTTAATTGCATCATTCCAGCTGGATCAGTTGTCCAACAAGCTAGTTCCAAAATGCCAAAATCCAATGGTTAGCAGAACAACAATAACATACTAGAACAATCATTCAAGCCAACTATTACACACTGTTGTAATTGAACAACACATATCGGTGATACATTACATGGATATATATATATATAGAGAGAGAG